GTGAAAGGGTGTAAAACGAGATTTGAGGGCAACATGCCATGCCCCGCTTCCACAACTCATCTCACACACGCCCTCACGCCCGCACGCACACACGCACACACACACACACACACACACACGCACACACACACACACATACACTGTGGTCACTCACATAGTGTGTGTGGTGGTATTAACCATCACATTATGTGGTGTGAGTTTATATTCCATGTATACTTGTGGGTATGCTTTTATAGCTCAGCAATTCATTACCACCATAGCAACACTAGATGGATAAATGAGGCAATGCTTTTAAAATACCAGAGTAACTGTGTTTACATTCTTTAATTCAATTTGTGATGGAAAGTGAGACTACTGCTGACCTTTGCAGTGGAGATTGCTTCGTGAGATCACAAAACAAGTCTGATAATGTGAACATTTATTACCTGAAGTTCTCTCCACTATCAGCAGTCAGCACTATCTGAGGCTCGTAGGAGAAAACATACTGTGAGTAAGGCTGTAATAACTAGTATAACATCCATATTATGTTTTACATTAAAATACACAGTTACTTGAATAGGTTACGTTTCTCAATTGTGAATATTGAAGTAGTGAAATGCTGGTCAGAAAAATAAGCAATTTAAAGGCAAAACCTCTGACTTTTGTAGAAGATTGAGAGGTCATGACGATATGTTACAGCAGTGGTTATAGTTGATTTGTTTTTTGCAGCAGGTCAATGTTGACTCTGGTCTGTTGAAAGTGTCATTTCAGCTTGAAATGTCAGCTGTGTTGAAATAAGATGGAGAAGATGACTACTACAGGGATTGAGAAGTATTTCTGGACACACAGACAGTGGTTGTGATCAGTGGAAAGTGATAACAAAAAATAATGAGGAAGTTAGTGCATGTTTTTTTTTCAATGACCGCGTGCTGAAGGTGACTCACTTATTGTGACATTGAGGCTGTGTCTCCTGCAGCAGGACACTGCTTTGCCAACAGTCTAACACACTAATCCTGTTAGAGGCCAAGGATGTTTTGCACCACACACACACACACACACACACACACACACACACACACACACACACACACACACACACACACACACACACACACACACACACACACACACACACACACACACACACACACACACACACACACACACACACACACTGTATGACTTTCCTCGCCCGACAGGTACCACGTTGCACTGAGCTTTCCACTCACCTCATCTACCGAGTATTTTCCATACACACATATCTTTAGACTCCATTTCTTGACGCATGCTGACTGTAATCTCACACACTTGTCTTGCACCCCTAGCACCATCATCCAGGTGTAAACAATAGACTTAAAGAAAGTTACCCAGAAAGTCCTCTACCTTTCAGCATGGGGGTGTTTGGGTTAGCAAGGAGACTATCAGAGGAAGGAGGTTCATAGTGGTTTCATGAATAGGATTCAGTTGGGCGACAGTCATGTTGGCACGGTTAGGTTTTAACAGTATTCTCTTTATCTCAACCTCCCTTTCTCCCCCTTTTCTGATTTCCTTTGTGCCTTTCTTTTGCAATCTTGCATTCTCTTTTTCTGTCTCCTTCCTGTGAGCGAAGTGTGTGCCCTAGGTACTAAAGAATGCTCTTTGAGAATGAGGGATGAAAAGAGGAGAGTGGAAAGAAAGAGAGAGGCTCCTGTTTTGATGTCCAGAATACGACAGTAGGTGAGGGGAGAACAAGAGAGGAAAGGAGGACAGGAGGAGAGGCTCCAGCTGGTTCTTTTCATAATGAGGGGCGCCCGCCTTGTGTGTAGCCGTGTGTGTGTGTGTGTGTGTGTGTTTGAGAAGAGGGTGAAAGAGGCAGGTAGAGGCAAACACAGAGAGAGTATTCAAGATGGTTTCACATTAACTTTTCAGTAGATGTGGGACTGACTCGACTCTCTGGGTCTCCACTCTGCCACGCTGCTTTGACTGCAGACTTGGATCCTTTTTACTATTTTTTATTTGACACACACTGTACTTAACCGGAGCTTTTTGGGGTGGTTCCGTTGCTCATAAATATCACATGCATTATATATACTGTATACTGTAAGAGTGTGTGTGTGTGAGTGTGTGTGTGTGTGTGTGTGTGTGTTAGTACAGGTCACAGTCTGACCGTCTCGTTCCCATCTGTCTTTCTACCCGGTCACGCACCCCATCACACACCACCTCACACACCACCTCACACACACTTTCCCTCTCTTTGGCTAAATCCGATTAACTGGCCTGCGTCAGCTAATGAGACCCCCATGTAGCCGGTCGCCCCCCCCCCCACTCCACCACCCCCCCTCCACCCTTTCTCCCTCACACACACATTGACAGCCAACAGCACGAGTCTCTAAGTACACAAACACACTCACACACTGCTCCAGGCTCGGATTGGACGAATGCACTCGGCTAATTACGCTGTAATTGTCCGTCTCTGTCCGTCCAGATGCCTGGTTTGTAAAACACAGAGCGGCAGCCTGACTGATCACCATGGACCAAAACATATTGTGCACGACACCAAAAGAGGGAGACAGATAATAAAATGAAATGAGAGATGGAGGGGGAGAGGTTGGCAGAGGAAGAAAGATTCAGTACAGATGGACTCTGTTGATTTACATTTTCATCACATATGATTGCTTTACCTGCCAGAAGCGCTCTGTGTACATGCATTAAGTAACTCAGCAACTGCCTACTACCCAGTTCAAAGAAGTCTAGACTGGTACCTTATTATTATTATCCCGCAAAATAGTTAATAAGAGCTTTTAGATACTCTTAAAGTGTGGATTTATTGTATTATCATATTTCATTCTGTCAGGCAATTTTGTGTCAGAGATGGAAACATGTGCATCAAATATTACGCTGTCTTTTATACAGGAAGTGGATTTGATGAGTAAAGTCATGATTTCTCTCCTGAATTGCCGTAATGGCTTCACACAGAGTTTAAGAAATTAAAGTTACTTCTAATAGAAAACTACATATCTCAAAAAGCTTGTCCAACCTAATGGGGTAGATGTTTGCCTTTCAAAAACTAAATAAATGGAGTAATTGTGTTCAAATGCTTGTGCCAGTTAGTCACTTGATTGACTGTGGTATGCGTACAAGTGTGTATTCTTCCCATCCACCACTTAACGGGACTCTTAAATCCTGAGTCCCTGCCTAAAAGCGCAGCTCTTGGTTTACTCGTGGACGTTTGCTTGTCTGGCTCGCTGTTTGTTTTGGCGCAGACACTGAGGAAGATTTCCTTTTGGGCTACAACCCTCTTACACACTGTGAACATGAGACTCGGTTTGTAAAACTAATGTTGTATCACTGGAGAGCTTCTGCGCTAATGGAACTAAATATTTATAGAGAGAGGGATACTGGATAGGGATGAAGATAGACCACAGAAAAAAGGAAATGGGAGGCAGGAAAAAGGAAGGTGGTGTAAAAGCAAACAAAGAAACACAACTGTGGGGAGATATAAGACCTTCTCATCAAATGTCAACGCTTGAATGACCTGTGTGTGGTTTGTGGGTCGTGGTAAATTACAGCATCTGACCCTAGTGGAATGTGTCTCACTAACACTCATAGCTCAGTGTGTATTTATGACAGCCCTCCCTATTATTTCCTCAATATCTACCCTCTGTCCTTCCTTCTCCTGCTCTCTTGCTTCCTCACAGTGGAGTGATAACAAGGTGGCTCCTCTCATCTCTCTTTAGACGTGTTCAGCAAACACTCTTTCATCTTTTTGCCGTCTGCATTTCTTTCGGCCCTGTTATTAAAACTAGCCCGTCAAACCACCATGATTCCCAGAAGTCCATCCTGCCGGCTCTTGGCAAGTTTCTCACAACAAATCAATTATTTACGTGTAGATTTTGTAGTCCAGAAATTGATGACATTATTAATTTATGTTATCTTACAGAGAGTATGGGGCTGGGTTGTATATAAGCAACACGTGTATGAATATTAATCTCAGTGTAGATCTCTGGATTTTTTACGTTGTATAAGAGTTGTTGAATTATTGTTTACTTTTGCTTCCCTGATGCATCCATTTCTCTATGAAACATCTTTTCATGTGAAAGTACTATATGCCATAAGCTTGCTGAGGTGGACATGTATATCAAATCGCATACTTTAAAATATACAGTCCATATGTTGATCATTTACTTTATTGATTTGAATGCCAGAGATTGCAAAATGAATTTGGCATTTCAACCCGAGTCACTTAAACGTCATTGCCCTTTCTGTGCACACATTAAAGCCTCACAGGGGACTCCACTACCGTCATGTGTTACTGTACGAGGATTTATGACACTGTATGTGCTGCAGTGACTTCATTAGCAGAAATGGAGCTCTACCCTTCATGGAGCTCTCCGTCCTTCCCCTCCCTCTCCTCTCTGTAATGCAATCTCTCGTTGTTCCTCCATAGCTAGATTGTAGAGAGAGTTTATAGTGTCGCCTATCCCCACTGGAGCCATTTTCGGTCCATCCCATGCCCTACAGTAGCTTCTTCTCTCCCCCATTGATATCTGGGACACTTTGTGCATCCTAATGTCTCCATTGAATGGCTGACAGTGACGAGGGCCATAGCTTTCCTCTGGGTCCCTTAATACACTGCTGTTTAAGCACCTTTAAGGTACTACTTTATCTCCCAATCCTAATGGCTGCTTTTGTCAGTTTGGATTTATAGCAGTTTCAATAGTTTCCATTACAAAATAGTTTCCATTAAAAGAAAAAAAACCACTACAAAACATCAATAATAACTTCTAAGTTGTAGTCATTGTGGTGTTATTATTTCCTCTTGTAGCTCTTCTTGAGGGACTGTTTTATATACAAGCTGAACTTTTTAAATGTGTTTTCCAGTTACTGCTTGTATTTAAACCCTGCCGAAACTATCATGAAATGCTTTTTGTATACCATCCTGTCATGTCTGATATTGATGTGACACATTACTACAAGTCATACGGCTTCCTGTGCATGACCCTGTAATCACATTTTTCTTCCTGTTTTCTTTTCCTCTGCAGTTTGTGGCGGGGCTGTGCTGGTGAAGGTTGCTCCTGTAGTGGAGGTGATGAAAGGAGAGTCCGCTAAACTGCCCTGCACATACACTACCCCAGCACCTTCAGGCAACACTGTTGTTGAGTGGTACATTGTAAGTCATATCCAGATCATTTTGCATATGCAAGTTTTAAGGTCACCTATTATGCAAAATCCACTTGTTCATGTCTCTTCTACATCAACATGTGTCCCCTCTGTGTAAAGAGATTCTGAAAGTTTCAGGGAAAAAGATTCTCTCTCTTTTTGTCCTGATCCATTTATATAAAAACCTGTCTGAAAATGAGCTGATCAGATTTTGGCCACTTCATGATGTCATAACGATTTTTTTGCTTGTGTAACCATTAGCCAATCACCAACCAAGGTCACCCCCCCCCCCCCACCTTATCACCTGAATCTCCTCCTAGAGCACCATTGTGGTCTTTTTAACCAATTATCTCTCAGAGGGGCGTGGGGAGTGGCTCCTTATTTTCATCTAAAGTAACAGATCCAGAATCAGCACTTTTGAAACAGGGCTGAAACAGAGGGGATTATGGGATGCTACAATGATCTGTTTGGTATTTCCAGCCAAACACTTCAGAGAAATGTTTTGTATATATCTGAGAACTATAATATATTGATGAAAAACAGTATAATAGGGGACCTTTAAGGAATCTTTAATAAAGAAGTGCAGTGTATTAAGTTGTATTTCTTCTTACTTATTTCTGTTTCTCTGTCTTATTTCTTCTTCTTTATCTCCTATACATCCAGGACGAGCAGGGAAACAGGAAGCGCGTGGCTTTCTCCCAGGGTGGCGAGAGAAAGAGCGATGACGGCACCCCCCTGTCCGGACGTGTCACCATCGGAGAGGACTTCACCTTGACCATCTCCGATGTCCAACCCTCCGATGAGCTGGACTTCTACTGCCAGGTCACCGCTGGCCCAGCCGGGGTCGGAGAGAACTCCACGCTGCTCAAAGTCTTCTGTGAGTCTGCCCCCGCCCTTTGGCCTTTGACATGACCTCAACATGACCTTATGAAAGAGGGGCAGCCCTCCCTTTCCCATCAGTTGTTGATGTGTGGAATTTATGACTTGGTTTGTCACTGCCACTAAGGTTTTATAGCTTCAATCAGATCTGCGTGTGTGTTCATGCATACTTTCATTTCAAGTGGCTTAATTGTATCTAATGAATGTCATGGATTTGCTAATTGCATTTCATACTCGAAGTAACCCCATGCTTAACCTTGATATAGAAATATAGTATCATGAAGTATGATTTGTTCACGTTTCAAGTCAATTAATAGAATATTTTATCATCATGCGTAAGACTTTGGAACCTTTTCCAATCTTGGGGTTACCAATTTCTTTTGATAAGTTCCCCAGAGGTCAATTAACCACAATCTAATCACTCTTGACACAATTGATGAATAGTTCAGTCCCACCTGTCATGTCTCATATATCTCACCTTAATAACGGCCAAGATTTATCACCAGGGCTCTGAGGGCAGACCCTCGCTGCAGGCCGCTGTGTCCTTTCCACTAGCACAGAAACCCCCGAGCAGACATCAATCATACTTTTAGCTTTTAGTGGCCTTATCAAAATGAATACCATTCATTTGCATTTTGGATTGGGCTGGTCAATCACTGGTAAAGAGGAAGAATGTGTGTTGGGAGAATAGCAAAACAACAGCTCTTTAGCGATGCTTCCACAAGTTAACCATTACCATTTATGCACTCACAGGCTCTGAGGTTTAAAGTGATCTCGTAAAATAAGCTATTAATTGTGAATGGGTCGGTCAGTGGTAGGCAATACTTCAAAGCAGTGCTATTGGACGAGGGCCTTCAAGATGTACTTAATGCCTGCAGTTGTAAGAAACAGCTTGTCTCACAAACCATTATTTATTCTTTGTCCGCATTTGACCACTTACTCATTGGGGGAAGAGCTATCGAGTGTCTTCTCATAATAGGATTGAGTTATGAGGTCTCTTTAGGGTCAGCACTGATAGCGTGGTTTATCTCTCTCGGGAGGCCTACAATAATGAGAAAACAGTATGTCTGCTAAGCAAAACACACTTATAGAGAGTAAAAACAACCCTGCCTGTCCCTCTCTATTTACATGTATATTAAAAAGCTCTATTTGTTTGAATGGAAGAGGAAGAAAGGAGAGTTTTAAACCTCATTGTACATCCAAATGACTGCCTGCAATATGTGGAAATAAAAAGTGCCATAATAGGGCTCGGAAATATATATATATTAGGCAAGGGAAGTTTATTTATATAGCACATTTCTACACAAGGTTTACAAGGCAAGTGCTTTACAAAAAAAAAGAAATACATTATAAAAGTACATTTTAACTAAATCGATGGCGCGATGTCAGACAAAATATCCTCTTAGATATCGTTATATTATAAAAGTAAATCTTTGAGAGGAGTTATTGTTTTGATTATTTCTTTAAAATCTAATAAAAATAATGTTACCCTCTAATATTGTTGCAAAATCTAAATTGAGCTACTTGTTGGACTTGTTCTCCATATTATGCAGGCTTTATAAATGCCTCTGCTGTTTTGGGAACAGTGAAACAAAAACAACAACACACTGAGTGAGACAGAGAGGAATACCCATCTACTGTTTATTTGTATAAGCAGTCCACAGCTGCCGGCAGTGATAAGATGACCTTGCATGTGAACAAGTGAGCAAGGGAATCGCTCACACCTGTGGTCGTGTGTGTGTTTGTGTAAATGTGTGTGTGAGCCAGAGGAGAGGGGGAGTGTTTTTCTGTTATTTGACCCTTATCAGCTCATGTGAAGCGGGTCACACTGGAATAATGTGAAGCAGGATATTTACTGCGTGACTTAATTAATGGTCAGCAGTCATGTGTGTTCAATGGCATATAAGGAAGTGAAGATTGTGTGTGTGTGTGTGTGTGTGTGTATAACGTTTTTCCTTCCAGGGAATCTTAATGATTTAATAATGATCCCCCCCCCCTCTTCCTTTTTTCCGTCTCAGTTGCTCCTGAGAAGCCCGAACTCACGAAGCCTTCAAGTCAGGCCATTTCTGTGGGAGAGACTTCCAGCTCTGAGGTGTGTGTGCATTTCTATAATTATGCGAGTCTTTCAAATCACATGAACACTGAAGAGTCACTTATTCAATGCTTTTGTCCATCAGATTGGTACCTGTATGGCGGTGAACGGACACCCCATGCCCAGAATCATCTGGTTCAAAGATGACCAGCCCCTTCCCGAGGTCAAGGACAGGAATGAGAGTATGTGTCCCTTATTATAATTTCATGAACAGATATACAGTAAAGCAAATCAGAATCAGAATCAGAATACCTTTATTAGTCCCACAGAGGGGACATTTACATTGTTACAGCAGAAAAGAGCCAAAGACAGAAGAGAATAGAATCATTTAATGTCATTATACATGTACAATGAAAAGGTGCCATCAAAACAAAAACATCACAACATACGACAACAAATACACGCAGCATACATACTTATGTAAGAATAAAGAATAAAGTGCAGTAATTATTTCCAGGGGTATAACAAAAAAATGTAATAAATAATAATAGGTATGTATTTATAATAATGATATATATATATATATATATATATATATATATATATATATATATATATACACAGTCACGTTTATTGCACATGGAGGATGATTAAGGGGTATGAGTTCAGGAGTTTAGTGCCATGATGGCTCTTGGGAAAAAACTGTCTTTGAGTTTGTTTGTTCAGACTTTGAGTCAGCTTAATGTTCCCTAAGAAGCATGCATAAACAAGTATGAAAGATACAAAAACACACAATTTACAAAATACAAATCCTGTAACAGTTCTGAGGATTTAGCAGGTATATATTGCACAGTTATTAACGGCATATATATATATATATTGCACATATATTGCACATATATTGCACATAGTTGGTTGGGTTATCTAATGCCTAATATCACATGCTGAAGATAATCTGTGTGCTTCCTCCCCTCCTCTCCGTCAGAGACCCACATGGTTCCCTCTGTGGTGAAGGAGGCGTCCGGTCTGAAATCTGCCAGAAGCGACCTGTACATGCAGCCCACCAAGGCCGACAAGGACTCTGTGTTCCACTGCGTCGTGGAGTACAGGATGCCCGGAGACGAGATCATGCAGAAGATGTCCAACACCATCACCATCAACCTCAACTGTGAGTGGAGGGACAATCATTAGTTAGTGGGCTTTAGAGTGTGCTAAAAGGTGGGGTTTGTCACCTTTGGATAGAGCTAGGTTAGCATTTCCCACCTGTCTCCAGTGTTATATTAGCTGGACAGACATGATTGTTTTTCCCAGAGACAAACTAAATGAGCATATTTCCCAAAATGTCAAGCTATCTGTTTTAAATGGAGGTTATAAACCAGCATCACCAAAGTCGTTATTATTTTTTTAGCTAGTTTTTTACTTATTGACATTTAATAATAATAATAATAATAATTATAATAAATGGAATTTATAAAGCGCCTTTCACGGGACCCAAGGTCGCTGTACATGGTGGACAGACAAAACAGAACAAACAATGAGGAGCGAACAAAACAAACAAAAAATTAATAAAATAAAGGAAGCCGGGGGACCAGGAAAGGACTAGGGTCCGAAGGCCATGGTGAACAGGTGCGCAGGAAGTGCATTCCAGAGGGTGGGGGCCGCAACACTGAACGCCCTGTCACCCACAGTACGAAGGCGAGAGCGGGGGACGGAGAGCAGGCCCGTGACATTTATAATAATTGCATATTATGATTTATTAGTTAATGCCATAAAATAGTGATTTAAGTGATCTTTGATCCATATTTGAGTGAAACAGTCAACACAGCAATGCTAGCAGCTGTAGCCTACTTCAGTTTTTCTTTGAGCTGAATGCTAACATGCTGATGTTTTTGTAGGTATAATGTTTGCTAGTTCTAAAGTGTTGATGATTGATTATTATTTAGTTAGTGGGTTACAAAGTGTAGGCAATTGATCCTGAGGGGAAGATGTAAAAGTTTACACAGCAATCCGGCCAATAGTTGTCAAGGCATGTCACTAAAAGCAACATTCTTCAGGAAAAGTCAGGTTAAAGGTGGGGTAGGTAATTTTGGAGAAACCGGTTCGAGATCGCTAGAATTTGAAAATACACAGCCGGAAAAAATCTGCCACTTCCTTACAGAGCCCCTCCTCCAACACACACGAACGCGCACATGACCAATGAGGGCACGAGATAAGTTTGTGCACAGATGGAAGGCTGACAGGCAGGTAGGCCATCCAGTTATTTTAGCCGGGCCGGCTAAAATGATTGGTCGTGCTTTTTACAGTACTACGGCTTCCACAGATGACATTTTTTTATGGATTTTTTGTCAAAGCACTTAAGATATTCATTGCTATCGGGATGTTAAGAGCATTCCATGGAATATAACAAAAAGTGTATCTCGAGCCGGTTTCTCAAACTTACCTACCCCACCTTTAACCCTATGGCTATTAGGATTTATCCTCTGGGGACGATGAATGTATGAACACGATTTTAAGATAAACCCATCCAGTTGGTATTGAGATATTTAGGCATGCACAACAACAATAGACTGTGACATTCATAAATAGCCTAAAAAGGCGGTAGAAAGGGAATGTAATTATGTATGCATTATGTTCAAGCCTATCCCTGTCTCCTATCCTCTGGATCCTATTTCTTTTGAATAAAAACACAAGCCATTTGGGATTAAAGATTGCCAACAAACAGCCTTTAGCTTTATCTTGAAATCAAATCTTTCCTCCAGCTAAAGTTGATTCAGCGAGAGATGAATGATGAGGCTAAGAAAGAGGAGGTAGTGGAAAAGTAAAACATCCCCTCAGGAATGCCTGGCACATCTCTGATTGATGACTTACTCTACAACAGTGTAAAGTATCCAAAGGAGGAATTTTCACCTGTTCCATGTCTGCTCTTGTCCGTCCAGATCCCTCTGAGAAAGCGACCTTTTCCCTTCTCAACACTGAACCAGTCAAAGAGGGCGATGCTGTCACCATGAAGTGTGAGACCGACGGAAACCCTCAGCCTGAGTTTGACTTCACTCACGATGTACGTGTGTATTTGAGTTTGTGAGAAATAAACACTTGTTGCTTGTGCTTTTCGTATTTCACATGTTTTGTCTCCAACTAAGTGTTACTCATGTCTCTCTCTGCCAATCCCTGTCCTTCCACTTTCAGGATAAAGCTATCAATGGTGTGGGGGGTGTCCTGACCCTGAAATCTGTCAAGCGCACAGACGCTGGTGTGTACAAGTGCACAGCCACAGATTTTGATAACCTGGATGCTGACCTAAGTGGAGCCATCACCCTTAATGTCAACTGTGAGTGAGCCAAAAACACACAAGCACACACACACAGCTTCAGAACCGAGTAAATACACATACAGAACAATTGACCTCCTGTCTGTGCAGTTAAAGCCTTAGTAAATCATACAATTCAAAGCGTTAGACTGGAAAGAGAACCCTTTCAGGATTTCCAATTACATTTTTCACAGTTCATCTGTTACTTTAATGTTATCCCAACTGCGCTGCCTAATTTGATTTGATCCCAGAAATGAAGCAGAGATAGACTAGAAATAGCGTAGAACATGCTTAACATTGGCTTTGAAATGGGCTTAACTATAGAGTAAGTGCATTAGCTTTTGTACTTACATAAACATCTGCTTAGTAAGGTCACTTTAACAGCCTTTTTACATGGTAGTTAAAGGAAGGAGTAGTCTCGATTTCAAGTGGCACGTCTCTAACTCCTTAGACTGTGTAGAAGGTCTCAGGTTTCTCGTGTCTTCCTCCCTCTCGCTCTCTAAAATGCTTTTAATTTTCTCTCTGTCAGACATCGACCCTGTGAGCGTGAACCCCGCCGAGCCTCAAGTAGTGACGCTCGGAGACAAGGTGGAGTGGCAGTGTAAGACCAAGGGCTCCGCTACACACACCGTGCAGTGGAAAAAGGTACGCTTCATTTCTCTCTCAACCTTCATTTCCTAATCCTTTCACTGAGAAGTGTTATATGTCTAGTAATAAAGACCTCGTTCTTATCTGTCCACAGCATCATTTCTGAGCATTTTCTATACAACTGTTTTTGAAATGCTACCAATGGGTTCAGTTCAGTCGTTCCTGGGTCTCAATATTCAGACATTTAGTGATTCTGGTTCAGTTTTGATCCAAGATTGTAAACACACTACCCTCTTTTTCATTGGATAAACAAAATGTCATGCTGTGATTTCCTTACTCAGTGTGCAGCTGCCATATAACTGGAGCCATTGCTTCCTATAAAGACAGTTGTGGCCCTGCTACACAAGCTGCATTGTGTTGTGCCAAGATGTAGCAACTGGTGAGCAGCAGACACTAGTGTTTGTTACAGTCCGTGTGAGCACCAACACGGTATTGAAACATGTATTAAAGAATCAGAATGAGAAACAGGTTTATTATCAAGTAGGTTTACACGTACGAGGAAATTGCTGAGTTAAAATCAAACATACTAGAACATCAATAACTGATGAGGGTAAAAGATAACAAAACATTTTTTGAATTTTCCCTACTATGTTTACCAGAAGATTAAAGATAATAGCAACACAACACACTCCTTCTGCTGTTTATTTTCTATTCCAAACCAAATAGAAGCTCGACAGTAAACATACCAAAGAAAAAGACTATTTGTCAAACTGGAAAACAAACATATCAGTGTTGCAACAGTGGTGTTTTTTTATTTATCCTCTCCTCCACTTGTTATGTGAAGAATGTTCCTCCTGTGTCCAGCCTGTTGCCTGTGTGTCTCCTGGGTGTGATGGAAACCCACCGACTGGTGGTTTTCTGGGAGAGAACGTGTTTGTTCTTGGTAAAAAAAGATTCCTATGAGAAGACGTTGAGTGGAATTGCAAGAGACAAGTTCATCATGGAGGACGGACTTTGATCTGTTATCACTGCGCTTAGGAGCAGTGTGTGTGAAGGTGCTTCTTCTGCTTTCCCAGCATTACTGCGCGCTAGATGTTGTTCTATTCTCATATTCAAGTGCCAAGGTTAAAAACATACAATTGATGGCTCATGGCGTCCCTCGAATTGCTTTTATTTTTTCTCCTTGAGCATTTTTTATTTTTAGCTTGGACCGCTAGTACGTCTAATTCCCGGGAACCTGATATCTCAAGAATGCTTCCCCAAATTTGGCACAAACATCCACTTATACTCAAGGATGCACTGATAAGATGTTTGTGGTCAAAGGTCTCTGTGACCTCACGTTATCAGGAACGCGATATCTCAGGAGCGCCACGAGGAAATGTCTTCGAAAGTGGCGCAAACTTTCTATTGGACTCGAGGAAGAACTAATTAGAAAGTGGTGGGATGAGGTCAATGTCACTGTGACCACACAATACACTAATTAGATCATAGCTTTCAGTGGTCTATTGTTTTTACTATATGGCTGTTTTTATTTTTGTTTTGTAGTTGTTACGTTTATTCTGGTTTGTTTTGTGTTCGTACCTTTTATGTGATTTTATACTTAATTTTATGTTCTGAGAGCTGAGCTGTGTGATTTGATATTGGATGTATCTCTCTGTACAGCACTTTGGTCTCAAGGTTTTAAAGTGCTTTATAAATAAATTGGATTGGATTATATAACTCAAGAATTAATGCGCTAGTTAAGACTATTTCATAAAAACATTCTAATGGGATGAAATGATGAGGAAATGTTAGACTTACATGATCTGCAAATTGACTGATTTACGATGCTACCAGGTGGTAATTCTAGTTTTCTTCTTTTTCCTCCAGGGCTCCGAGGTGCTCTCACAGAGCGGCACTCTGTCGATACAAGCCGCTTCCTATGAAAATGCTGGAGAGTACGTGTGTGTTAGCGCCGTGCCGTCTGTGCCAGGACTCACAGCCATGGCTAGTGTTACCCTCACTGTCAAAGGTACATTCTTCTAAAGGAAAACCAACAAAACTGTGTTTGAACAATACTTAAGTTAGGATTTAAATCACATCTGTGTTGTTATAATTGTACACATACATGCACACTGACACGCACAACTCTACTGATAAATGTATACAGAGTAACCCAGAAGCATGAGGCCTATGGCTTAAGAGCAGCAACATGAAGCACTTTATTTTAGTTGTACTTCTTTTTCTAAAGTACCCAACCTATGCAAAAACTAAACATACGTACACACACACACACACACACACACACACACACACACACACACACACACACACACACACACACACACACACACGCACACACACACACACTGTATGACATTCCTCGCCCGACAGGTACCACGTTGCACTGAGCTTTCCACTCACCTCATCTACCGAGTATTTTCCATACACACATATCTTTAGACTCCATTTCTTGACGCATGCTGACTGTAATCTCACACACTTCTTGTAATGACAGTCACACATTCTTTGCTCTTGACCTTGTTGCCAAACTCTCAATACACCTAGTACAAACAAACACACACACACACACACACACACACACACACACACACACACACACACACACACACACACACACACACACACACACACACACACACACACACACACACAGGGTTGTAACAATAGCGGTAATGTGCTGGGTATTGTTTTGGTCAGAGGAAGGACGTGGTGTATTCCATGGTTGCAACTGAGAGAAGGTGTGGCTTCCTACTGTTTATAAGTTAGTGTGATGAAACCATTAGTGTTTAGAATAATATTTACTTTAAAATATAGTACAGGAGTTCAGTGGAGTCGTCTAAGCCTCTTTAAACTTGCTGTAACTTCAACATGCAAATCATTTTTCATCTCACATTTCTCTTGATTGGACGAATGAATGTGCTGCTATCATTAACTACGAAATCGTTAAATGAAGTTTCAAAAGAGACATGATTAGCATATTGGCATAATCATAAGCATGCATAGTTTTAAACTTTGTTAGTTGAAGTAAACTGAACTCATAGAAACGATTATAAAGATTGCATTCTACCCCAATAATCTGAAAATTAACAAGCTTACTGGGAGCTGCTATACATTTATTATGAATCCCTCTAGTGTTAAAGTTCTGAAAGTAACTTATAACTTTACATGATTATCTAAATATGTGTCATCTTGTTTTCCCAAGTTTAGTGAGTTTAACCAAGTGTGTTTATATACTTATACAACATAAGATTACCAACTATTCAAACTTGTTATTTGGATTCTATGGTATTATTTTAAGTGTTTGAGATTTTGCTGTCTTGCTTATACCAAAGTTTCCCCCTGTTCACTGGCTCTGTCTCAACCTTTCCAGGAAAGCCGATGATCGAGACTCCGGCTGTTGGAGAGGTCACAAAGGAAGGAGACATGGTGACTCTGAAGTGCTCTGCCTACGGCTTTCCTGCCCCTCAGTTCACCTGGAAGCCCTCAGGAAAAGAGGTATGAATGCAAAAACACAGCATGAAAAGCAGCGATTAAATACCTGGTCAAGTGTACAACAATCACTCTGTAAGCAGATGTTATGATCCTTTCCTGGAATAGATTGCAGAAGTAAAACTATTTACAAAAGCAGTGGTTAAGATGCACTTGAAACAAACAGAGCTATCACTATCAGTGTTTTTTATCTGGGTTGAAAAGTGAAGTGTGGCAAGATTTTTCACAACATCTGAAGATCATATCGGTAGGCTGGTTGTTAAACTTCAAAAGCAACAGAAAAAAAGAAATAAGATATACCGCTCCCGGGTCTATGATAAGTAATATATTATTTTTATATTTCATATTGATGTGGAAAAGTTGAGAAGAAATTCCCATATGATATCCCAGCTTGAAAAGGAACGCACCGGGGGTATGCAGCTTCATGATTGAAATATTACATCAAATGAAGTGATAAAGTTAGATAAAACTTTAATGATGCTGCTGAAAAGCCGGATCGTTTCAGCAGCAAATAGTTATGTTTGTGAGATCAAAAGATGAGAGATATTTAAGCTTCAATAACTGATTGCATCTAATGTATACATTTGAATCATGGGGAGACCTCGCGAAACCTCGCTCAAATGTGCAAATGATAGTGTCCAGGTGTCGTCGATCCATTACAGAAACACTAGAAGACATTAGAATATAAGACTTAAGAAACACAGACAAACTGGTGATTCAAGTTAAAAATGAAATTGTTGTACAACAGAATAAGAGACTGAATACCTACTGAATACTGCAAAAAATAGTCAGGAGCATGTGTCTGAAAACTGACAGAATTGCCTCAGTAAATATTCATTTGATCATTTAGTGCTGGTCATTTGGACCAAACATCCCATTTCGTTATGTAAGCAAAGCTGGAAAGAAACTAAGTACATTTACTCAAGTACTATACTCAACTACACATTTCAGGTACTTTACCTGTATGTGTTCACGTTATTATACTTTATACTTCTACTCTACTACATTTTGAGTGCCAATTTTGTAGTTTTTCCTCCAATGCAAATTTTTAACAGATGTATTTACTAGTTACTGTTCAAATGTTGACACACAATGCTTAGGAAAAACTGTTAAAATATTTGGTATACATTAAACCACACAACATTATATTTAAGTAACTTAAACCATGAATGGGTTAACAGAACATGTATTGGAATTAAGAAGTTTTTGTTTAAAACTACAATTGCTGCTTTTGCCTACAAATATTTTGAAATAGAAAACAAATTAGTTCTTACTTTAACTTTAAGTACATTTTCCTTATCGTACAACAATACTTTTACTTAAAGGTGGGGTAGGTAAGTTTGAGAAACCGGCTCGAGATCGCTAGAATTTGAAAATACACAACCGGAGAAAATCTGCCACTTCCTTATAGAGCCCCTCCTCCAACACACACGAACGCGCACATGACCAATGAGGGCACGAGATAAGTTTGTGCACAGATGGAAGGCTGACAGGCAGGTAGGCCATCCAGTTATTTTAGCCGGGCCGGCTAAAATGATTGGTCGTGCTTTTTACAGTACTACGGCTTCCACAGATGATATTTTTTTATGGATTTTTTGTCAAAGCACTTAAGATATTCATTGCTATCGGGATGTTAAGAGCATTCCATGGAATATAACAAGAAGTGTATCTCGAGCCGGTTTCTCAAACTTACCTACCCCACCTTTAAGGAACATTCCCAATTACTTCAAATGTAGTGTTTTTACAGTGTGGTATTAGTACTTTTTCTCAAGTAAAGAATCTGAATAATGTTCCAAACACTGTATGTAAGTGACCCCTAGTCCCATAGGATTTAGCAGGAAACACACTGATAGTGAAGGTTATCCTATATGAGCTAATAGCAATGTGCCACATTAATGATGAGTGAACTTGTAACACTCATGTTTTTTCTCTCTCCTACGTCCATTTCTCCTGACAGTCTGTATCAGTGGAAGGGAGCAAGGTGGTCAGCTCGGTGACTCTGGAGGCCACGCCCGAGGTCATGAAGGACGGGGTGAAATGCGAGGCCTCCAACGAGCACGGATCCACCAGCCAGTCCTTCCTGGTATCTCTCAAAAGAGGTCAGTGTCAGGAGAACACGATGCTACGTAATCTCATTCCTCCACCTTTCCTGTATACAGAGAAATGACTTTGTGATGACACTAACAATGTAATTAATGAGACGATTTGAGAAATGAAAATGTGATTTGCTAGTTAGAGCTACACCAGCTGTTTGTAAGTTCAAACAAACTCTGCCTAGTTTCAATGTAGCTAAGATAAAAGAGTTTCACATCAATACATTAAATCAAGTGGCACGACACAAAGTAGTTATTTTGTAGAGATGAGTTATTAATAATGTATACAGACTGAACTGTTGTGTAGCTAAATTGAAAAACGTACGCTTATTTCCAACATATTAGTGAAGAATAAATATGTTGTTTAATAATGAGGAGGACGTTTATTATAAACCCATTCTCCTAAGATTACAAAATGCATGCAAATAATTAACGGCCAATGAACTTCAGTCAGTTAAGAATAATCTGATATATCTTCACTCATTAGAAAAACATGTTAAACTCTAAAGAAAACGTATTTCTCCTTGTATGCAGGTTCAAACAGGTGGCTGTTGAGTTCAATATACATTATAATGAGTTAGGGTTTTTGATGCTACACTTCCTGTTGACATACTTGATTGCATATTTGGAGCTGAAGTAGCTAAGAAGTTTTAACGGTATAATCTGATTTAGTAAATTGATTATTTTCTAGAACTTGCACAGCATTTAGAGACTTCCTGCACACTCTCAATAACAGATTTACAAATAGCTAGTGCAACTAAATCCATCTTTCTATTGTTCTTTTATCAGCAACTTAATTTGCAAACTAAAACCCTTTTTCTTTTTCTTCTCCTCTTCTTCAGCAATTGACAACTCAGCCGACAGAGGTAGAGCCTTCTCCCTTCTCCTCCTCTTGTCCTCCCTTCTTCTCTCAGGACTGTTTGTTGTACAGAACCTGTAGTTTAGAAATCTCCCCTTCACCCATCTCCTAAATCCCCGGCCCCTTTATCACACACACTCACACACACACACACACACAAATACCCCCCCCCCCCACACACACACATCTCCCTCCGTTGTACTGTAATCTTGTATATTTGCCCTCTTGCTACCGAACACTGTGGATATGTATATTGTTATTCTTCTTCTCTTGTCACCTTTGTATGATGTCTGTCCTATATTTTGTGGATGCTACTACAACTTTGTTGTGGCCCCTAGGGGACAATAAAGGAATCTATTCTATTCTATTCCTTCCTTCCCTCTCTGTGTTTCTTCACTGTGTCTTGGTAACTTCTTCTTTCCGACTGCCTTCACATTCCTCGCCTTTCCTTTTTCCGCCGTTTCCACTCGTCGGGGTGCTGTGTGTAGGATTTGGTAACCTTAGCTTTTGTGTGCGTATGCTCTTCGTGGTGTGTGTGCGTTGTTGCTTTGCTATGCTCTGGGACTGAGAAACTCTCTTTTTCTCAAAGTGCTGCTTTCTGGAAACCCCGTGCTTACGTCAGGTCTGTATCGCTAACCCTTTTCATGTGTTTGCCGTTCGTCTAGAACTGTAAGTCACTGTGTGTGTATTTGTGTATGCGTGCACACACAGTGGTCATGTATTTGTGTCTACCAGAGCTACTGTGTTTGTGTATCCATGCTTGTATTACTATAGTCGAGAGGACAGACCTTAAATAAGGATTTTATTTGGGGGGAAAGGAAGTTACTTTGTGAAAACCTTATGCATCACAATATCAATTTTGCATTTATTTCGCTATTTTAATGATTAATTGTCAGAAAAGAGAAAATGCCTTTTAAAATCTTCTGAAGCGTAAGTTGACGTCTTCAGATGTCTTGTTTTTTCTAAAACCTCCCATATGATTTAGTTTTACAGTTAACCATTCAAAATCAATGCAAACTTTTTAGGTGGCCTGATATGAGGAAATAATGGACAATGCAGACGCAAACAACCTTTGCTCCATCATGCCTTTTATTTTGTAAGGGCATAGGTAGTGATATCAAAAGTTAAATAAACCTTGTTCATTGATTTTGAATGATTAACCGTTTACAGAACGACGCCTGAGGTACGCTTTAAAGGAATAGTTTGACAGGAAGTCTCCGCTTCTGCCCAGAAATAGTCCATGACATACCCCCTGTAAAACTGCTACACATGAGATAAAAACATGTTAATTAGTGAGCTTTAAAAGTGTTGAGAGGCAGATTTGTAACATTTCGACAGAGCCAGACTAAGTATCCAGTCTGTATGCTAAGCTAATCATCTCCTGGTTCCAGCTCAACATATACAAGATAAAACATTATCAACTTTCTAGTTTCAAGATTCACGGCTTTTATTGTCATGTGTACATAGCTACAGTGTAGATATGTCAATGAAAATATAAGGTCACAGGCTCCTCCAACAGTGCAACACAATAAAACAGATAATCTAGTAACAAGCATATTTCCCATAATGTTGAACTATTCCTTTAAAGGACACCAGCCAGGCAATCAAAAAACAGGCCAGGGTTTAACTTTGTGTTAAAACTGGCCTACAAAACACTCGCTGAATTTATAATAATGTCATCGTAGGGTCATGTCCTCACCAGTATAGTAATACAGTGCCGGTGGATGGGTGAGTTGTTCAGTGTGGTTCTCTGGCTCTGGTCTGTTTTATCTGTGAGTGTACAGGCCCCGTTTTTGGGTCCCATCACTTCTCAGTCATGCATTCAAAAAAGTTAGTCTAATCCCACTTCCCAACCCCCCACTCCTTCTCCTCTCCACCCACCCACCCATCCATCCATCCATCCATGGTTGTCACCTGGACACCCATCCTCTCCCTCTCTCCATCCTCCCCATCCCACCACCTCTTGTCTCCCTCCTGCGGCTCCCCCAAATGAAATTATGTCCGTCCCCCTTGCCTCCCTCTCTTCTCCCCCACGAATCAAACACCTCTCATGATTACCCTCTATCTACCACCACCCCCCTTCAAAATCAAAAAAACTCCTCCATCTTCCATCCACAATCCTCCACCCCCTTCCTCCCCTCCTCCTCTGTCCTCCCTCCACCACCCCACTACCCCCCCCCCCCATGTGTCCCTGGTTGCTGCGCTGTAGCTGACTCGCAGCAGGGGGGCTCCAGCGGCGTGGTGATAGCCGTGGTGGTGTGTGTGCTGCTGCTGCTGCTGCTGGTGGCGCTCATCTACTTCCTGAACAAGAAGAGCAAGCTGCCCTGCGGAAAGAAGGGCAAGAAGGAAATGTGAGTAGAGGCAGGGATGGCAAAACTACACACATCCTTTACTCAAATAGAAGTACAGATACTCGTGTTTAAAAATACTCTGAAGTACTGACTAAACTTCTTTACTCAAGTAAAAGTGAAGAGGCTTTGAAATGTACTTAAGTAAAAAGTACCCATAACTAGCAGCTGTTTTAAAGAGTACCTGACCTCCCTTTATATTAATAGAACAATAATGTCATTGTTAGCTAATAAATGTTTCCATGCTGAACAACGGCAACATGACAACGTTTTCATTGGTCCCTCTTCTTTAGAGAAGACCAGGAAATGATGGATACACGGATCGTGTTCAAATCAATAGGCACGCAATGACTCTAAATAATAATGATCACGCCACCAAACACACATTCAAACTAAAGTAATCAGCCTGTTTGGGAAATGTAAGAAGTAGAAAGTACAGGTATTTGTGTTAGAAATGTAAGAAGTAAAAGTAAGAAGTCGTCAGAAAAATAAGTAGTGGAGTAAAGTACTGATACCAGAAAAATGTACTTAAGTACAGTAACGAAGTATTTGTACTCCACTACTTCTCAGTGTAGAGGAGAGGGAGGGAGGGAAGGAATAGGTGTACAGAAGGGATTAATGTTGGTAGTTATTACATTATGGGACTCAATAACCACTTCAAGTAAACTATACTATAGTGCTGCTTGTAGTAAGGATGCTCTTTTTTATAAGAAAAGGATTAGCAGCAAATTGTTCTGAAGTAGATTCAAAAGGGGCTCTTCAAAGAATAAAGGATACAAGAAATAAAGCTTGTTTCAGTGTATTTACATTTTTTATTTACAAAAATAGGCAAATAGTAAGGAAAATAGTATACATAAAAACAGCAGGAATGATCTATATGTAAAGGGGTTTCTGAGAATAAGATACTCTTGGATGAGAAAGGAATAGGGATATTAGTCTTCACTTTTTCAACGCAACATGCTGGGTTTCCTTAACTTCCATACAAGTCATTTTGGTACTACAAATACACTTTTTCAGACTCAAAAAACATCCATTAATGATAATAACGTCAAAGTTTCCATTTGATTGTTTGAGTCTGATTTGAGTGTTTTCATATCAGCGTGCAGATTACAGTCTGAACATTTAGAAGTATTTACTCAGAGATGTACATCATACTTCCAGCTAAAGTCTTTAAGGGCTATTACAAAAGAAGAGCTAGTGAGTCATCTACCTGCGTGTTTGTCGACAAATCAGTTGGCCAGATCAGCCAATCAGAAATCAGTCGGCTATCCTGTTTTCAATCGAGACCTGTCCCCCATTGAAGCAGCAGGGAGGGGAAATCAACACACATGACTCTTGTCTCTGCACAAGCACACTTTATTAACTGTTATCTTATACAGGATGTGTGCAATATGCAAAAACAAATATTGAGAATATAAAACACCTACTAAGTTAATCAAATATATTAGAGCTATATATACAACCATTATCTGGTAAGACAAACGTGACAATGAAATTATTCTATAACATAAATTGAATGATGATTGAAGTGTTATCTTTAAGTAAGGATTTCCTAATTAGCTGTAAAAGTCATTTTGATCCTATATACATTTTAAAATGTTATTAATTGAAGTGTAGTGTAGTAGTGAAACAGCATTCAACAAGCTCTAGTCATCTTTACAAACAGTAGCAATACGAGACAAACACTCGCAGCAAATCAACGTCTTCTTAACCCTTTCATCTTTTGCTCCCCGCTCTCTCTCAGGGCCAGTGGAGAGGTGAACACCGACATCGTGGTGGAGATGAAGTCAGACAAGGCCAATGAGGAGGCCGGTCTCCTCAACAAGAGACCGTCCTAAGATAAGGTCAGGACAATGGACACGGGCATTAAGGGGTTAAAGGTCATGGACCTGGGTTTTGGTCTACAGTGAGTTTTAAATCAGATCAAATCAAGTTGTATTTATATAGCACATTTAAAAACGATTTTTGGTCGAGCCAAAGTGCTGTACATGTAATAAAAACACTTTACTACAATCACAATAAAAGACAATAATTTACAACAGAAATATAAAAAACAAAAACACAGGGAATAGTCAGGTGTCATTCTCTGCTCTGACTAGAAGGCCAGAGAGAAGAAGTGTGTTTTTAGTGAGTATTTAAAAACCCCTAGGGTCTGGGCCGACCTCACATGGAGGGGCAGACTGTTCCAGAGCCTGGGGCCAGCTGCTGCGAAGGCTCGGTCCCCTCGGGTTTTGAGCCTGGTCTTGGGCACTACCAGCAACAGCTGGTCAGCAGACCTTAAAGCTCTGGCTGGGGTGTAGCGATGGAGTAGTTTGGCTATATAGGCCGGAGCCAGCCCATTTAGTGCTTTAAAAACAAATAAAAGGATTTTAAAGTGAGGCCAGATTCTGGCCAGTGAGGCCAGAATTGGGGTGATGTGGTCACGCTTTTTGTGGCCAGTCAGAAGATGAGAGTTTGTAGCTTGTACGGACAGTGCAGTGGATGAAAACAACGCCATTCCTGATCTGAATAGGCTTCTCACTTTAACACATTTTCCATTTTAGTTAGTTTGTGGTCAGACCTGTAAGATGCTTCTTCTCAACATGAAAGTCAAAAGTAAACTGTTTTCAAACCTGTTTTGGGTGAAATAGTTCAACTTGCCTGTGGAATATAGTTTAACAAATCACGCCAAATGATTTGGAGACGATGAGACGAGCAGAAATAACTCAACAGCAGTGAGATTGTGAGGAATCCTTTTTGGATATATTGTGATGGTCATTTAGACAGAAACTTGCCTCACAAGATTAGTGTTAGACATAAACACGGCTTTACAGTCAGCAGAAATGTCTTCAAGCACATCACTCATGAGTCTAAAGTCAGCTTTAGCTCAAAGCCAGCAGTTTTGAGAAAGCTATCCCGCAGCTGATGGATTGTGACAGCTGTACGGAGTCATTTCCAAATGTCATCATAAATGTAAAACATTTCATCATAAAACTTACTGTAGTGGCATTTTTGACGGGAGTGTAAAAGCCGGTTAAAGCGAGTCTTGTTCTATGTGATATTTGAACCCACTGACAGTCAAAAATGTGTGACATTTCAGAACTGCAGAGAGATTGCATTCCCATTTACTTCTCTTTTGAAATGTATATAATGAGATGGAGAAGTTGGTCTCTCCAAATGCTATGATGTGATGTTTCATTCCTGAGATGTCATCAAAAGATGATCACCCGGTGCGCTGTCTTCTAAAAGGTTGCCGCCCCAGCCGCACACAGATTCAATTTTATCCTGAAATTAAATCTTGACTTGTACATTTTTAAGACCTACGATTTATTCACGTCTTATTGCAAGTAATACTCATAACTGTATTATGCTTACAGCTTTCCATACCAGCTGCAGAAGTCATGACAGTGATATAGTGTCTTGAAATATTCTGTTATCAAATGTTCTATATTTTATATCCTCTTTACAATGTCCGCGCTCTAATAAAAGTATAATTAATACAATTGTGAGAGAGAAATTGTACCAATATGAATGTAAGCTTTGGGTCTGTTACTTATTTAAATATCACAAATCAACAAAAAATAAAACAGAAAAAAAAACTATTGATACCACGAAAAAACGAGATACCCAGACCTCTTCATAAATATTATAAAAAATATATATGTCGATGTAATTGCAACAGTTCAGTTAAATAATTGCCCACTGTTAATGAATACCTGATACATTGTTAAATAATCTGTGAATGCAAATGTTCTTCATTCAGATGACTTGTTTGAACAATACATACCAAATGTATTTATTTATATGTATTGTGTTTGAAAAAAAGATGGGAAAGTCATGAATACAGCATTACTTTCCATTAAAAGGACAATGCATCTATAATGATATTCATATTCATATTTGTATGAATGTGTTTTTCTCTCCTCTCTCTGACAGTGATGAAACAACACAGTGATAGAAACCGACAGAGGGAAGAAGGGAAGGAGGAGCGCAGTTACGAAGAAAACAGGGCTATTTTTTATTCATTACACACGACTGGACAACGAGAGGTGGAACATGGACATTTGTTTGTTTTGGGACCTCGGGCAGCACATCATGTTTGGCATTGGTTAAGCTTTGTTTTATAACCTGCAGTAGACCTTTATGAATGGAGTTCTTGTATTTTGTATTTTTAGAGATATGTTTCACCGTGAAGATTTAACTCCATTCATTGATGCTACTACAGGTTTAAAAACCATGTGCAAAATCAAAATGCTACGTCACTGGATGATATTATTATCACGGCTTTCTTTTGATTCTTCCTCACCAATCACATCTTTGGTTGACTCCTCGACAGAATAGAGCTGCACAATCCACACACAATGGCAAAATCTCTCTTATCTATCCCAAATTAAACACAAAATGCCATTACGCCACTGTGATTTCCTCTAGTGTGTATCTGCATGCAAGTGCAGCAGTGAACATCTATTCTGCCTTGGAGTCTGCACTTAAATTCTGTCCTTTCTACTGGGTATATTTGGGAAAATGTATCACGCGTTGCCATTCTGTTTTTACTCACCTCAATAACAAGTGATGATTTACGCTCACAACATTTAATCTCGCAGCCCATTGTTTGGCACACGCTGCTGTAACATTTCCACTCAGAGAAGCTTTGTGTTTGCTTTAGCGCTGTGTGTTTAATTGCATTTTTTGCCACCTGTGAATGTGTTTTTTACAAATTAGTTTTCCATTCAAACAGCCCAGGCATTTAATAACACCTCTCTTAAATTGCTTGCCTTTTTCAATCCAGCAGAAAATCCTCCAAACAAGCAAGATATTAGGTTGTACAAATTTGTTCTTGCCAGCATACTTGTATATTTTGTCAGTACATGTTTTTTTCACTTTGCTCGGCTGTTTTTTTCCTGTAAATTAAAATACTACTATTACCCTGTCTGTCACACAGGAGGTGAACTGAGCATGAGGTGGAGTTTAAAGTGTCTGTGGTTACTAAACTGCTGGCACAGGACCGTAATAGCTACTATTTCTAAACAAGTCTTTTTGCAGCCTTTTTACTCCTCTCCTCCTGGGATGAAACAAGCAGCAGTTCATCCCACATCGCCCGATTATTATCGGCTTTCACTGTAAATGTGTTGGAATTTGGCAAAATGGTCAACAATCTCAAACTGTGTACTGCTGTGTTTTTGTGACAGCAAAATGGGCCGTTCACAGGGGCTGCAGTTACAGATTCACCTGTTAGGAAAAATAACTGGTTCACTCTCGTTTGATACAAGCAGGGGAGGGATGGGGGGGGGGTTGTTGCTGGAGTAGGTGATGTACCTTGTTTATTTTTACCAAATGGACGACTATTGAGTGTCAAAGCAGGAGTGTTTCTGTGTTTTAGGTACACAATACTGGCATTTTGTTTTCCCCCTACACTGTCAGCAGGCCAGAGAGGCAGTTTGACCCGTTTTACTTTGTTGTACACTGGAACCAATGGCCTTGATTTTTAAAAGAATGTCAACTCAAACCACTATCTCCGCCCACAAGGCTCGTTTTATTTTGTAATGTCTGTCTACTGATCTCGCGATATTGACTGTTAGCAAGCCTGTGATGGTAAGCAAAGATAGATACCTGAACATCTTTTTGGTTTTTACTGTTTTATATAAAATATTGTGGTATAAAAGTTGTTGTTTTTTAGAAAGGGGGATTCCTAATTTTGGAACTACTGAGTTTTCATTTTTCCCATGCTTTTCCACTCGCTCTGAGAGAAGAGAGAATTGTTGGTGTTTTTTATTTAGGATTCTTTTTTTAGGTGATATTCTCAGTGCTTTACTTCTCTCTCTCTCTGTACTGTATACTGTATATTTTGTGGTACGCTGTTGTGACCTCTGTGGTGTGTTGATGTATCTTTTTATTTTGTTCCAGCTGTTTAGAATTTATAATGAAACAAAACTCAAGAAAACCAATCACAAAACTATATTCTCTGTGTTTTTATTCCCATCGCTGCGACAGGCAATTTGCAATAACTGATTTTATTCTCGATTTCACAAATGTTCTTTTGAAATTCACTGGGTATGTTTTCTCATAGATACACAGCAGACAAAAGTGTCTCTGGCCATATGATAAGGCACAACTCTTACATATTGTTGAACATCTTCTCTAAAATCTTGACACATCTGACCAATAACAGATCAAATATCAAATAGCCTTTGATGTAATCATCAATTTTTTTCCTACACTTCCTAGAAGATTTAAATTTAAATTGATTCCCAGCTTGCACCAACATTCAATCTCTTCGATATAACCAGCATTATGTAAATTCCCCGTCACATGGATTGATCTCATGATTTGTTGTGACAGAACAGAAAACTTGAGGAAGCTCATTTTTTTACATCGATAACCGCTGTCTGCAAACTTCAAGATGCAGCGCTCTCTTTGCCCGCTTTCATGTACAGAAATGACTTGAAATTAAACCATCAATCATTAGCAAATTGCTGTGCAGCTTTGTAGATTGAACAGTAACACTTAGTAGGATGACGCTTATCAATGGCATAATCATAATTGACCATTTGAGAATTCATACATCAAACTGAATGTTAATTAAGAGATTGGATGAAAGGCTTTCTCTAAAAATCTGATCCAGGTTCTTCTTTATTTTCTGCATTAAAATAAGCTCCCTTCCTTGTTACGGAAAGCTAACATAACAGAGTAACCTTGGACCACTTTATGAACATCTTAAACCCAACACTATGCATGTAGTCAGGCTCTCAGCCAATCAGAGCTGTTCTCCTGACACACCCCTGCTGCTGGCTCTGCTGGCTCTTCCATTAGGAAATTAAAAGTGTCCCATCAATATACTGTGACCCGGAGAAATCGATCTGTGCCGTGAATACAGAGCAGCAAAGAGAGAAGCAAGCTGTATGAGCATGTGCGGATACTAGGAATGTATGGAAATTGTAAATTAACAGTGTCAGTGTCTTCCGCTGCTGATGTGATGGACATGCGGATACATGTCAGCATCTCCAGGGGTTTCAGACCGCAGTAAAACCTTCAAACAGTTGCTGTTTTAGATGTTTTTCTACCAGGGAAAACATCTCTTACATACATTGAAAGGAATATAAAATGTTTCTTGCATTAATATGATAACAACAAAAACATGTACTACGGTATGTAGGCTATATGATGTTTTCTATTGTCAACACACAAACAGAATTAAAGAAAATGTACTGGCCAATCAGTTAAAAATCGTTACAATAAACCTGGTGTCGAGTACAATAAACCTGGTGTGAAAATCAGCAATGTTAAAGATTATCAAAATGTTATATTGGTTACCTAATTTAAAGAGACAAGGCTATAATCGTGGCTGAAAAGCAACCACTGTAGACATGGAAAATGCTAATTTGATTTACCTAAATTACCTAAGATTGTCTGCAGTCAGTTGTCTTAAAGACATTATTAGACCACCTGACAACCTGATGACCTGCCACAAATAGCAAACAACACACAAGGTACATCCCAGTCTCACGGCATTTCGTGTTATAGTCACGAAATTAATTTAATCTATTGATTCGTGTTCACCAACACGATTTTTTTAGGCACGAAACATAGGCCTACTACCAATAGAAATACATTGCTTCTAAAATCGTTCTGTGTCAGAATACTGAAATCTGTATTTTTTTAATCTCTTTTTCCTTCAAATTTGCCATCATTGCTTTGACACGAAAAAAATGCGAAAATCGTGTTGGTGAACACGAATCAATAGATTAATTTCGTGACTATAACACGAAATGCCTTGAGACTGTGTTGCAAGGTAAGTGGTGTTTACTTTACTTTTGTTATTAAACTAATTAAATGTGCTGTGACCAGTTGTGCGAGTTAGCCTACTTGAAAAATGAAATGAATTACACTTCTCTGAAACTGAAATTAGTTTTACAAGCAGCCATTTTGGAGCTAATCGGTTTATTGCATAGACTGTATAGGTTTATTGACTATAACCTGCTAGCTTAGCACATAGCAATGCACACTACTCAATACACCATTCAAAGCTGTGCAAAACCATGTGATTTCCAAAATGTAAACCAGTTGATAATTTAAGATAGCTAGCTTAGAACTAGTTAATCATTATGACTATTGTTGGGTAGGATGTTGCATATCTTCTATTTCAGTGAGGCTAACTTAATGTTATGACTGGAACTGGAACTGGAAAAGTAGAAGTAAAGAAGATTCATTAACTAGGGGGGGTTTCTCAGCTATTTCAATGTTGCTAGCATTAGCCAACGTAAGCTACTGGTCATACCAACACAAGGAAAGATTTAGCAGCAATACCTCATTTTAAGGGTGTGTGCTTTTTACCGCTTTGAGTTGTTTATTTGGAAGTGAAAAAGCGTGTTATTTACTCTTTAAATGTTACAAATGTTAGCTTTACGGTATTCTCATTGGGATGTTGGTGAATCATGATAAGTTAATTTAAGAAGTCTGATCATAAGTACTGTAAAATCCTGTTTTAAGTGAGAAAATATGTTGAGCAATGTGTTTTGTTTGTGTATATTGCTGTGTGAATGTGTATGTGGCTCAGCTTTTCACTATAGGCCTATCTAACAATAGGGGGATTACTGTCGGTCCTCCCAGTGTCCTTCCCTTCCTTCCTTCTCCCTCTCCCCGCTGAGACTTTTCCTGCTGGGTTTAGTTACAGTAGCTTTAAACTGATTTAGCCATTTAGTGTCAGCCTATTGAGGGATGACATCCACTGTCCGTTCCCCTCGGCCTGCCCGACCCTGCTCTGATGGCGACTCAGTAGCACTTGGCACAGATTCACCCCAGTATACACATGCACAGAAATAGACACAGAAGAACAAAGTATTCTGCGTGCAGGGATTTTGAAATAGATCCAGGTTGAACAAGGCGCTGGTGGCTGCCTCGCTGACAATACGTACTCCATCATTCCACATAATCAGCGCACACATGCAGTCTGCACGCACGACCAGGAGAGCAATGACGCAAGGAGAAGTTCAGCATGGATGTAGAGATTAATGGAGGACCTATTGTGCCAAGGGGGGAAAGGGAAGGAAGAAGATAATTGATAAAGAGACTCAAAAGGCGAAGGAGTAGGAGGAGAGTAGCCTTGATGAGAGTGAAAATGGATTTAAAGGCAAGATAGGGAGGGCAGAAAAGGTGATGGTGAGGGGTCAGGATGAGAGGAAACGAAAGTAGTGATTGGTGACGAAGGACAAAACAGGCCATGCTTTGTTAAGAGGTCATAAATCTGCATTTGCTGTTGGCTTTAAACAAATATGGCCCTGAAGAAATACAACGAGAGGAAGTAGGAGGATGGGAGGTAAAGAGTGAAGGTGTACATCAGAGAGGTAAACAGAGATAAAGAATGAATGAGCGCCTGTGTAATAAATGTGTTTATCTCCCTCACTCCTAAGGCTTAATATCCTGTGTGGCGTGAATGTGTTTACTGTTTGGGTGCGATTATGAGCGACAGCACCGAGAGATGGTTCCTTTGTACTCAGTGTGTCGGTGTCTGTGTGTGTTACACCTGCCTGTGTGAGTCTGCATTTATTTGCTGTATTTTCAATATCTATCTCGCAGCATGAAAGATTTGTTTCATTGATTGTATCTGTGAGTATGCTATTAAAGCCAGAGTCGGCCGATCCCCCGTCGCATGAGTTTTTAGCGAGTGTGTGAGTGTGTGTCGCTCAGGAGGGCCCGGCCACCTGTGGGAGGTTTTGTTATTGCGACACAGCTGGACGTGCTTTGATTTTAATTGGTTGGGCTACTTTGTGTTGTGTCTGAGGGAATGAGAGGCAAATACAACAAAAGGAAATGGAATTCCAGCAGGGTTTATGAGTGTCAAAACAGCTAGGACTATAAATATGAAGCAGTGATGTGTAGAAGCAAAAATGTGATTGGAGATTAAGACCTACTTTAATGTGCTTCACTCCCTTTGAGTCAGTCATTATGAGTCATACTGAAAGTATTAAAGATCAGATACAAGGTACATTTTGAATGTCCTTTTCCTTTGTGGATCAAAATTGTTTTATTTGATTTCATTCATTAGGAGTACGGTTTAAATATCACATTTCCAAATTTCATAAACTGTTTCCATCACATAGGAGAAAAGAACAAATTATTTCAGCCTCTCCAGAAAAAATAGCAGCATCATACCAGAATCCTGCCAAATGTTTTATCATTTTAATGCATTTATTTATCGACCTGTATTACAGACTGCAAGTAGAATAATGGAAGGTAGTGTGTCCACAAAGGGAAACTGGTATCTTCATTAAAAATCACAAACATCCTCATACCAATTGTGCATGTGTTGATTCACCATTTAGTTTTATATAAATAAAAATAACTTGGCTTATAAAAGTTACACCTTATTAAGAGGATGACTTTCTGACTGCTGATACTGTGAGAAATAATTGAACACATTACAGCCTACTTTATTTTTTGGTCTTATTAAAATGATCCTGGCACAATGCTCTCCAGATATAACGATCTCCTTTAAAACAGTTTAGAAGTAGCAGTAGTATAAATAGTATAATACATCTTGTAAGAGTCACAATTCTGTTTATTTAAAACTGTCTTTTAATTTAAATTTGACCTGTCAAGAATGCTCTTTGAAAACCAGAACAGGAAGTAGACAAGCAATCAGATTGACTTAACTTTAAGATCTTCTGATAAACTCCAACAAAGACCAGTTCATTAGCATACTAGATGGTGATAAAATACTCTATGATTCAGATACATTTGTGTTTGAACGTAGTCGTCACGCACCATGAAACACTGGTTTTACTGCCAAAGGCAAAAATAATCCCCCCGGGGCCCAGCAGAGAGAGAGCGAGAGGATCAGAGAAGAAAGTCAGCGTTAAAAGAAGAGGAAAGAGAGAAGGGCCCGCAGGAGTTGAAGAGCAGCTGTTGAGAGCTGCTCCTCTGAGAACTTCTGTACATGCTACAGGCTCCTCCCATTGG